ACAGGTTATAAATGAAAAATCAACCAAAAAGCTACTGTCCAGCAAATAACTGACATTTGTTATGTTATATAAAATCTGTTGCATCTGTTTTTGTTTGATAAGCTAAAATATGCCAAGCAACATTGGGTGTACAGTTACTACATTTTCAGTTGAGAGAGGATTCTGTAACTTACTGCAGTTTGGGAGAAATTGTCAGGTTTAATAATTTTTTATAATGAAAGTAAAATTCTACATTGAAGAAAAGTGTATTGTATGTGTATGCTGCCAGTTACATTTCTCAGAAAGGAAATTTGAATATGCAAAAAAACAAAAAAACTGTATTTAAAAGGTCAAATTTAACATATAGAATAAGAAAGAAAAAATAGAACAAGAAATAAGAAAAGGTTAAGTAACCCCATGATTCAGAAATCAGAATGATCTTTAAAAAAGCTGGTATTTCTAATTACTTCCATTGTATTGTATCCGACTTCTCAAACAAAACACTAGAGATACATACATATATTCTTAAGTAATGATCAGTATTGAATGTCTCTGCAGTATATATAAAAGACAAAAACTCATGCAACATACAATTACTGCAGCATTTGCAACAGCTGAAGTTACCTTTGCTCAAGTCAAATTAATAAGTTAAAAGTAAAATGTACAATGATATCCATTTAATTTGAAGCTCTGTGAATCTAGATTGACTAATGAAGGAGCACACAAAATAATCTAATTTTCTTTTACTGGGTATGGGGCCGAGTTAAGTGAGATGTCAAAAAAAAAAATGGAAAAGGAAAGAAAGACTTCTGTCTGCAGTGTGTCAGACAGCTTGGATGCAATTGCGTCAGGCATATGTGAAGAAAACTGTAAAATGCTTGTGTGAGTGATTTTGACTGTATATCTGTATGAAACATGCATGAAGCCCGAGAGGGGGGGGAAGGGGGGGGAAGCACAAAAGCCTTGAAATTCCAGCTGTGGTATGGAGTGGGCTGCATGTTAACACAGTTAAATGATCCACATGGCAAAAGCCTCACTTACCACAATCCTAAATGTAAACATGATAAGAACGCTGGAAACACGCATACGCCTCATCCCTAACATCTGTTGTTGTCTGTCTGTCTGTTCCAGGGTTTGGAAATGCGCTCCATTTTGCTGATAAGCAGATGATATTTTATTGTTCAAAGGCAGCAAGCTGCTTTCACAGCAAGATCTGCACTGCACACACAAATATTTATACTGTTGCTAATGAGAAACTCATAATTTAGCCTAAATAGGGTTACACAAACACATTCAAGTTCTTCCTGTGGAACACACACGTGATGTGCACACATTAGCCTCTGTGGCAAACACAGATGGATACACAATATATGCAAGCATGCAAATATCCACGCTACCTACAGCAGTACTGACTGCTTTTTAAATCTATATTTATTTAATTAGTGCCACTCTGAAACAGTTCCACTAATTGAGATTGCGCACACAGTATTTGTCAGCTGTGCATTAGGGATGCTTTCATTTTATTCCAGGGAATGTTGAAAAGTTCCATATCAGTTCTCACACTAACTATAATGGGTGCTGCTTAATTTTGGAGTGTCCATTTAATTAGTGGGGGGAGGAAACCCAAAGCAGATGTGAAACTGGTTAAGTCAGTCACCACTAATCCAAATCTGAGACCCTTTGTTCGACAGCACATCTTCAGCGTCATCAGCATAGCACAGCTGTGTTGATATAACTGGAGCTTCAATGGGCAGAAATGACAACTACTTAAAAGTAAATGCCAACATTTGTAAATCAGAGCTGTGTGTAAAATGATTTCACTCACTAGTTTTCTGATTAACTTAGATCTAAACACCAGTGAGTTATTATACAACATCTTTACTTTAAGCCTTCACTGTGACGTTAACCGCACGTCCATGACTGTGATGCTTTTGTGCTGACAAAATGTGTCCAGAAAGACAAACACCTGCCTGAACACTCACGCATATCGAGGCCTGATAAAATCATGGAAACACGACTCCTTCAAATTGAATTCATTTATTGTAGCGCAGTTATTGAGATCTTTTTTTTTTTTAAATCTCATTTGTGTAATAATTAAAAATGAAATTCATTAGGTTTGTCTATTATCACAGCAGCAGGTAGCTCCACAGTATACCAGATCTATATAAAAACCCACTATTAGTAAAGTGTGGTCTTAAAAGCCTTTTGGACCCATCTGCGATAATATATTAAAAAAAATGTTACTATTTGTGTCACATAATTTACAGAATCATTGCAGCAAACCCTGTGAAAAACTGAGAAAAAAGAATAAGTTATCATACATAAGAAAAATTGTGTTTTTTGTGCCAATTAAGCTTGTGTTAATGATTACATCTAATTCCTGTTTCTTGCATTAATATGATGATTTACATTTGATTTCTTAACCTATATATTATGTTTTATATATAATCTATGTATTATGAACTAGTATATTAAGTAACAGTAAATTAGTTATGGTAGTAACATTAAACAGAGTTAAAAGAAAGCAACTTGGGTGTAATCATATTTACAGCATTCAAATACCAGACTGATCTGTAATGTAACCAACAGTCACTCCTTGAAGCCGTTCTGTTTACAGTGACTTACTGATCAGCCGAGAGGCTCATATCCAACACGTTCTTGTGCTAAAGTAGCATAAGAGTGTGTCTCAGGAGCCTTGTACGCGCTCTGTAAATAAAATACTGAGTTGTAGTTGTTGGCGTGTAATCTTGCTCTGCCTTGCACATTTAAGTTGGTCCTTACATCTAAAGACATCAGGGAATTAGTGTGCATTTTATTCTCCTAGCACAGGTGTGTGTTGCTCAGCCCTGGCACCATTCACTCTCCTTTAAGCAAGAATGATGGAGACAGTTTTGTTTTTTTTTTCCTCAAAGTGCTCATCTCACTGACTGGTTAGGTTTGACAAAACATCAGCCTTGAAGAGAATGTGCCATTTGTTTTGAATCTATTCATCACTCAAGGAGAGTTCTGTTTTCTGAACATCTATTTGGCCTTCTCTCCAGCGAGGTCTGAGGTCAAGTATCAGTGACAGAGTGCACCCTAGAAGCTGGTAGGGATTCATTGTCTTCCTCAAGGACACTTCAGAAGCCTGGACGCTTGTTGAATTGACGAGCATATGCCTGCCTTTCAAGCTGATGGACAGTTCTGCTGGTGAATACACCAAACTTCTGTCCACTTTGTAATTTGTAAATCATACAATACAGTCATGGTAAAAAGAAAGTACCCCCAAAAAAAAGAGCATCTCAATTCTAAGGTCTTTACATAGCAGGTTTAACATATTAAACTGTGTTGTTACCTAAGTAATAACCTAAGTAAAAATGACTCTGGTAGAATAACAGTTACTTGACTAACTTGAAGTAATCCTTTTCTGTACTAGTCTCTTGCATATTTCTGGAGGAATACAGTTTCAGGTTGAGGTCTGGACTTCCACTTCTCCACTGCAAAACCTTTTCTTTTTCCAGATATTCTGTTGTAGATTTGTTGGTGTCTTTTGTATGACCCAATTTGGAACAAGCTTAAGCTGTTGGACATTTGACCTCACATTAATATCTTGAATATTTTGTTATACAAATGTTTATGGTTGACACAGTGGCTGCAAAACAAACCCAAATCACCACCACTGTGCTTGACAGCTGGTATGAGGCGTTAGTAGTCATATGATGTTCTTGATTTTTGCCCAAACAAATTATTATGGCCAAAGGTCTCCACTTTGACTTTAACATGCTAACTGAGGCCTGTAGAGACTGAGATGCAGCTCTTGGGTTTTTTGCAGTTTCTATCAGAATTGCACAGTCTGAGGTGAATAGGGGTGAATTCAGCAGGTCCACTCCTAGGAAGATTGGTGACTCTGTTGAATATTTTCCACTTGTAAATTTTTCTCACTGAAGATTAATGGATGTCAAATTGTCTGGATAATTC